TTTGGATCCTGATCCAACAGTGCTGCGCGGCATAGTGTCTCTTGGGAGCCATCTTCGCTACTGGTCATACAGCTCATCAGCAGCCGATCAATACAAGAGCACCAAACGTCGACTACGCTATTCGCGTCGAGGACATAATTCTTCTTCTGGCACCCAGCGATTTACCAGTAGCGGTAGGGGAGCGCTAGAGGACTACATTGCAAGTGAAAGATACGAGCTAGAGCAACAAAAGAAAGCTGACCAAAAGGAAAGGGAGCTTTTGAGTGGCCGGTTTGGTGTAGACCTTCTTGGACCCGATGCTACTGAAGAGGACTTAATTGCTTATGGGCAAATGCTGAGCGAGGAGTCGTATACGAGTGATGAACGCAAGAGGAAGGGTAACGAGGGTAGTGTGGAAAGTAGTTCTTCGAGTGAAACTATATCTCCAAACGAGAAGTTTGACTCAAACTCGGACCCAGCTGCAACCTTGGCGTTTACGACCTCTTCGTCGTCTAGTCTCGACACCGTTGCTGAAGAGTTGGATCCTGATATTGCTGAAGCGATTCGCCTTAGCCTTCTCGACGAATCTTCTGCATCGTCATCCAATGCTCCGTTCAAATTCATGAGCTTGTCTGGGGACAGTATATCTGGCTCCTGCCCTTCCCCCGGAAATGCCGAAAGCAGTATGGAACGGGAACTTGGCGATTTGGAATTTGCCATTCAGCTGAGTCTTGCTGAACAAGAGGGTCGTGAAGGGAATGGTTATACTGACTCTGGCTCTGCTTCTGCTTCTTGGGGTGATGAGGGAGACTTCCCCGCTTCTGTAACGGAAACGGGCGTAGTATTGCGTAGTAAAGGCAAGGGAAAAGCCAGCACACTGTAACATGTGTTGGGTGTGTTTTGTTGTCCAGTTTACCGCGTTTTTATTGTGTTTTATTGTATTTCTTTTCTGCTTATTTTCCTTTTTATCTTCCATTACTGCTCGATTCCCAAGTATGAGGGTTGAAGCGGACGTTTCATCATTTCGATCTTGAGTAAAACTCCTAGTTTTCTGATTTAATGCTTAATCCTGCACGCTTCTCAACAATTTATAATTGAATTATGTTCTGTTGCTTCTCGCATCTAATATTTATTCAACTTCTATGTATTTCTGGTTATTGTTGGCTTGATGCATCAAATTCAGGGGTGTGCCAACCGGAGTGAGAACTTATTTCCATCATTGCTGCAGATCGATTTATAAATATAACATGAACATCAAACTACCCTACTACTCTTTTGTCCTGGGACCTGGCCATGCCAAGGTTCCGAAGCAAACGAAGGCAAATGAGCCTACAGAATTCACAAAAATTAACCATGTCTTTGAAGTGGATACAAAGAGATGGAAAGAAAAAAAAAACAATTGCTAGAGACGTGTTCAACTAGCCTCTATACGCTAATGAACGAATCATGGGAATCTTCGAGTTATTAAAGTCGGATGGTCAGGTAGGGATGGGATATCGTGAAACGGCACCTTTATGTTTTGTTCAAATTGCAGGGAACAAAACATCCCGATCTTTCCAGCCATCGGTTATATCAATGCATCCTTACCTAGTTACCTTATGGGAAAACTCGGAGATAATACATGCAGGAAGCAATTGGGGTCAAAGAAAAATGGCCCATAGGGAATATGTGAAAAGAGAGGAATAGAAGAGAAACTGAATTGACTAATACAGCTGGAAAATCACGTAGAGGGAAAAGGAGGAAAGGGGCAAAGAAGAATATTCATGTCGTCCTCTATACCATAAGCAGAGTCAATCCAACCACAGCAGCAAGGAGAGAGAGAGCATTGGAGGTGGAGAGGGTGCTAGCAGCGCCCTTCTTCTTCTCTTTCACGGCACCGGGTGCGCCAGAGGTCTTCTCGCCGGGAAGGTTTGACTGGAAGTCTTGGAGAACTTTGATGGATAGGTTTTCCAAGATTACACCGTCCTTGTTATAAACCTCGAATTTGACCTTAGTGTTTTTGACTTCGACGAGATTGCCCTTGTTAGGGTTTTTGATGCCATTCTTGATCATCTCAGGGACCTCTTCTGGAGCTTTGGGAACTTTGAAGTCGTTCTCGAAGTGTTTGGTGTCCTTGATGAGGTCAGGAGAGCATTTGGGGGGTTTGATGCTGGTCGCTGATGGGTCAAGAGATTCGAGGAGGGAAAGGTCGACTTTCCTGTACTGATCCATCAGGTTGTCGTAGTCAATAAGGATAGTGGCGGTGTTATTGGGGTGCAGTTGAACGAGACCGAAGTCGTTGGATTCTTGGGAGTATTCATAGACCAGACCGCCTCCCATGGCCTTTGTCATTTCCTTTCCATATAGAGCACCCACTTCGGTGAATATGCGGGGCTGGACTTCATTGCAGCCATACTCGGAGAAGAAGACGGGGAGGGAAGTCTCGGCGAATTGCTCGACAAGTTTGTTATATCCACTGGTCGTGAAAGAGGCATCTCCGCACCAAGAGTAGGAGTTGAGACCGAAGAAGTCAGAGAGGGATATGTCAGAGTCATCAATCTGGCAAGACATGTATGCCCAAGTATCTGCTAGGATGTTACGAATATCGGCCGCGGAATAGCCAACAGGAATGCTGCGAGGAGCATGTTTGGAGATGTACTCCTTAATATCACGTTGGACAGCCTAAGGAGGTAGACAGAGACAGGTTAGTGTTAAATTTAATCAATAAAAAATAATTCCCTAAGGATCGCATGGTCGGGGGGGGGGGGGGGGGGGGGGGGGAGGGGGAAGGAAAAATCCACGGGGATATATAACAAACGTACGCGAATATACGCAGGAACCTCCTTGACAGCATCTTCGTTGATGACTTCATTTCCACCAAAGAAAGCCAGGGTATTGGGATAGTCCTTGAAAGCTTCCACAATACCGAAGACGCGTTCCATGTAGCCCTTGTGGTATGTGGAGGCTGGGTCGGCACGGTTCAAACTCTGATGGGCGATGGGCGAATTGACATCGAGGATTAGATAGATGCCGGCAGCATTGAAGATAGAGACACAGAGGTCATGGTTAGTAGCGGGGTTGAGGTTGTAGATGCGAATGGTGTTGACCTGGGTGGCATTTGTAATTAGAAAATAGACATCGACATAGACATTAGATTGATAAATAAATATATAACTATTAGAAATACTGGGGAGACAAACACCCAATCGCTGGAGCAGAGCAGCATCACGCAGACAGATATCGCCGTCACTGAGTGGATCAGCTCCACCCTTTTCCTTGTAACCAGCAGCCCCGCCTGGCTGGTAACTGTAAAGTTACAACGATCTTGTTAGTCAACCAGTGAGTCCCGCCTGACGACTAAAAGGGGCATGCGGAGGGAAGGGCGGGATTAACTCTAACGATGGATTGCTTACTCGACACCAATGATCTGGAAACGCTTTTTGGAGACAGGGTTGACGAACTGAGAGCCTTCGATGCTGATGGGGGTAACGGCGTGAACAGTGGATGCCACCAGGGCAAAGAGCACCGTAAAGTATCGAAGCTGCAGAGACCCAAAAAGCGGATTAAATATTAGCAGACTCCCATGCGGATGTCAGTGCCTAACTGACTGCCAGTCAATCAGTGCAGACCACATACGAGAGTCATGATAGTTATTTAGTTAAGTAGTTGGTGGAGTGAGAGATATGATAAGCGACACTTGTTGCTGTCATGGGCAATGTGGAGGCTATCAAAACAGAAGAAAATGAGCGACAAGAGAGTTGAAGAGTTGAAGAGTTGAAGAGTTTGAGATTGTGAAGACGTTCGTTATTTATTCGTCTAATTAGCAGTTAGCTGACTCCGGAGAAAAACTAGTCACCTAAATAGTTAGTAGTCAGGGAAGCGGTGCAGTGGAGCTGGTTTTCTCTTCATAGTTGGTTGTGGGAAACAACCTCCTTGGTGAAATTTAAAGGAAGGTTTAGATATTTGAATAAGGGACGGATTAAGGAAAGAAGAATTACAAGAGGAGATAGCATTTCATCTTCAGCTTTAACTACTCAATACAGCGTTGTTAAATGTTGTAATATCTCACCACTCCTGTGTATTTTTTTTTTTCCCGGACCGTCCAAGAGCCCTTGGCTCGTTTCGATTCTGCTGGCTGTGGCGACCAAGTGTCCCGTGTCGATGTCCAGGTATGAATGGGGGTTTCAGCTTAGTACTTAGTTCTCAGTTATATCGTCGTTTGTTGGAAAAGAAGACTTAAATACTTCCAGAACTCAAACAGATAATGGAACAGAAAGTCTCCCAGCTAGTCAGCTAGTTATGGGGTGAGTAGATATTTGATATCTAACCCTGCGCACTCAACTAGGGACCCGCATCCATGGATCTGCTGCGATTCAGCTGAAATAATAATACAAACCAATGCCGCTTCACATCCCGTCTAAACATGTAAATGTCATTAAAGTATAGCTGAACAATCCACCCTTTTCCTTTCTCTCCCCCTCCATTGGAGGATGATGGAGAAGGGGAAATTGCAAGACAACTCGCAAAAGACGAAAGAGCAGAACCCTGGCAACCTTGGGAGACAGCATGAGGTAGTAGTTTTGTAACCCCGGCCAGAAAACAAAAAGAGAATAGAGAAAATATAAAGTGGTTCACCCCGTTGCTCCAAAGACCAGTGCCAGATGCAAAGTGTACGGTGTGTGGTGGCTGTTTGGGGATATACTGTAGAATACAGACAAGAAACAAATATACAGTTTAAAGGGAAGACAGGAGAGGTCAGGTCAAAAGGAAGCTAGTGGAATCGACCAAAGGAATATAGTTGTATAAAGGGATCTTGAAACGGGGAAAAGAAAAAAGACATGAGTTTTCCCCCGCCAAAAATGAAAGAAAAAAGTTAGAAATAAAAAACAAACAAACCCATCGTTATTTGCGAGAATGTGGAAATCCGAGTCAAGAGGGAAAAAGAAAAAAAGATACCCCTTTGTCTGAGACTTCAGTTCATCCAAAGTATAATTTTATTCACATCAAAAGGATCGATTTTGGTATTGACATCCGTCCCTTATTTATTCCACCCCGTGATAATCCGACCCGCTGCCACCGCTGGTGAAAGAGCCCAATTGCAGCGATGTGTCCTGGCCCACCATTTCAGCCAGGATCTCAAGCACGTCCTTGGGTACAGTGTTGTCGTAAATGGCAATTAGGTCCTTAGGTTGCGGATACACCTTGAGCGCCTTGTAGAATGCAAGCGCTGCTTCGAGGTTACTCGTTCCTGAATTTTGTTTTATCCATCGTCAGAAACGGGAATTCATTATCTCACAGATACTTGCGTGTAAAAAAAAAAAAAAAAAAAAAAAAAAAAAAAAAAAAAAAAAAACCATACCTTCAGCGGCTAACTGCTCTCCCTTAGCAATCTGGCCCATGAAGAATGCCTCCTTATCTTCTGGATCTGAGGGGAAGCCCTCTTCCTTTGCCTCCTGCAAAGCTTGTTTAATCTCAGCTATTTGCTGTGCGCCTTTTGCTTCTGATTGTTCGCGGACTACTCTGGCCAGTCGTCGGTTATCTCGCTTAAGATTCCGTCGGAATTCCGCATCCGAATGCCGCTTATAGTCGAAGTAGATGGCATAAGCTGGAGGACACATGGGATTTGTTAGTGCGCTGATATTGTATAAACTACTCGACTGGTATACTGATCCTACGCCAACCTCTGGTGAACGCGGGAACTGTATAACTGCAAATATCAATGGTTAAGAGAGAGATGCATCATACCAAGAAAACCAGTCAGAATAGTTCCTGCTGAGGCAGCAATTATAGTGGTCGTCTTCATATTTTGGCGTTGTGAGTCCTCTTGGGGGACGATGCCTACGTATAAAGAAAAACCAGGTGAGAAAGCGGGAACAATAGCGGTTAGAGGTCAGAGATCAGAGATCAGAGGTTGCAATCCGGAATTGGCAGCAAAGGGCGTTACATAGACGGTTAAGTAGATGGCTAAAAGGCAAAGAAAAGTCCTTATGTTCTCTTTATTTCTCCGTTGTTGTCGTTGCTAATCGACATTTTCCTTTTTGTCTCTACGTAAATATTTTTGGAGAGCGAACCAGCATGACTAAGCCGGTGCTTATTAAGCCCAGTCCAACGTTACATCAACATCCAACACCCAAACACTCAATCTCCTTTTACAAACTAATAACAAACTACACCTAAATATTTGGTTTTGATGATATAAGAGTATGGATGGAAGGGGTTTGACTCTTAGGAGTAAATTTCCTACCCGGCCTCAGATCAGCGCTCCCAAACCCATCTCTGACGCTCGCTCCGCCGCAGGTGGCGGTAGACCTTCTGGTCCCACGGCTACGAGTGCCGCTGCTGGTCCGGCGGGTATTGCGACAGTCGGCTCCTCCCCACGAAAAACACAATCAAGCGGTGCCACATCTGATCTCGTTAAAAGGAGGTACTCCACCAGGTACAACCAGCTGCCCAACTTTGCGGATATCCCTGATATCCCAAGCCTACCCGCTGGCGCTGCCGCCTTTGATAGAGCCGCACAACAGGAATGGCCTGCGACGGGCAAGGAGCCTCTTCCCGGCCCAGGCGAACCCCTCCATGTCGACCTGAATGCTTTGAGGGATCCCACTCTGCCAGTGGAAAAATGTATGTCCTGTCTGCAAGAACCTACATTCATTCTTATCTGTAAGCAATTGAAATACTAAAAACCACCGCTAATTGAGCCAGATGTCACCACTCTTTTGGCAAATGCATCCGAACAGGAAATACGGGAGTATCAGAACCAGCTGTTGAAACTCAAGAACAGAACGTCTACTGATCTACAACAAAATGTCTATCGGAATCGGACCCAATTCATAAAAATCAGTAAGGAGGCCGAGAAACTGAAAGGGGAGATGAACACGCTTCGGGACCTCATGTCCGAACTTACTGCCGCTCTGGGCCAGGCAAACGCTACAAATGGCTCAAATGCTATTTCCCCAGGATTCGATGAGGCTTCTCCCGCGAAAAGGCATCCAAATCGAAGCTCCGTTGCTAACCTCGAAAACATGTGGAACGTACAGCTTCAAACCCTATGGAAAACTGTGGAGAGATCCCAAAAATTCCTGCCCGCCATACCCGGCCGCCATATTGTACTCGAAACAGGCCAGTGGGTTGAACTGGACTCGGCAACATGGAAACCAAAACGGCCCGTCCATCTTGTCCTCCTCAACGACCATCTCCTTGTGGCCGCCAAAAAAAGGAAACGAGTTGATCCGAATACCCATAATATGAAAGGTCCTGTTCCGACAAAACTAGTTGCGGAGGAATGCTGGCCATTGCAAGACATCGACATGATTGACCTTGCATCCAACCTAGGCCCGAACGGCGTGGGCCCAGATGCGGAAGACAGTGGAATTCCGAACGCTATCAACATCCGGTATGGCCAAAAGTCGTTTACCTATCGCAGCGATCATCGGACCGGCGCACCCAAAAACGACCTTCTGATGACTTTCCGCAAAACACTCGAGGATCTGCGGAAGATCATGCGCACAGAAACCGAATCCAACGCCAAGGCTCCAGACACCTCGAGTAGTAACCTATCTCTTTCCAGAAGTTCCCAAATCTTCGACAGGAACGTATTCCGCGATAAGCTTGATATCCTCATCGACGTCGACGGGAAACAGCAAAATATGAGGTGGGTCGAGGGCCAATTGGACGAACTCGATATTGATACCGCGCTCCAACATTTCGACGACGCAGTCTCACGGGTGGAACAACTGCGAAAGCTCGCAAAGAGCTTAAAGGGAAACCTGACAGCGCAGGATATCATCCTCTCCAGGATTGACGAACGAGCCACCAAGCTGGCGGAGACTATACTGCGAGCTTTGGTGGACACCAATTCGTTCCTCGCAGCGACCAAAACAAAGGTTGGCTGGCTTTCCCGTCTAGGTTTTGACGATAGAGCACGGGAAGTTTTTTTACACACCAGGACAGAAGTAATCACCAAGCATGCCCGGTATATTTCTCTTCGTTTCCCAATACATGAGAATTTTTTCGGCTAACTATTATCTAGCCAATGTGTCTTCGAAGGTGACCTGCGCCTGTACATTTTCCAGGTATCTTACATCTACTTCACGCTAATCAAAAACACCATTGCCATCTACCAGCAGTGCTTTCCTGCGCCCATGACGAGCGCTTGCATAAAATGGGCCAAGCAGCACCTCGACGGTTTCAACGCCATTCTTTCACGACAGCTGAGCAGCGTTGAACCTGAAAGCTCCGTTTGGCAAGGGTGCATGGAGACTGTGCATGATCATGTCATTTTGTTATTGGAGGTTGGAGTTGATTTCAAGGATTTGGTGGGCAAAGGGTTGCCTAAGAGAACGAGTACGGGTATATCGTCTTAAATATCCTGTCCGTCTGGAACTCTAGCGGTAGAGGTAAGGCATTAAGAAATCGGATTCTTTCTATCTCTTGGTTGAATAAACTTCGATGCCTTTTCCAAATTTGGTTAACCATCTTTTTGATTCTTCGCTTCTTGATCTTCGTTCATCTAACAAGGAAGCCGGTCTTTCTTTCATTCCCCTATAGCCGCTTTTGAGATACCGATTGATTACATTGGCTAACATATGGCCTCTGCACCGTTCACCCACTCATGCTTAATTTTTTGATATCCTTTCCGTTCTGTCCTGTATCTTTCTTTCATTGTATGTAGCTTATTTCTGCAAGTACCTGCGCATAACTTAACTACGAAGTATTTAAAGCGTGGGAGAAGCCTATATATATTTGATCTATTTTATATTGGGGCACAAGTCTAGTGGTCTAAATATGTTCACATATCTCTTAGAGATCTATGGCTACCTAGGCTTGCAAGTATCCAATGTGCCTGCTATTCTCATGGGGTATATATCCACGATGAAGAAGCACGACATACAGAGGATAGGACATGTCAAAATAATAACAATAATAAATAAAAACATAATAAAATAATAAAATAATAATAAAAAACTAGTTTCCTACCCTTGAATATAAATTGCTCACTCTCCTATCTAAACTCAAAGTTGACAGAGTCCAGATCAGCAACTCGCGATCACTTCTTCTGCTGAATATTCATATTCCATGAAACAACCACCTTCTTTTACCCTTCTAGTTGGGCTTCCAAATATTTTCCCATGCATGTACCGCGACAGTTTCTTGAGCTTCCAACTGGCAAACCTTGAAATTCATCACCGGCGCCAATTGATTGAGTGTAACAGGTCCCGTTTCTGTGCTGGCTGGTGTTGGAAGTCGCATCCAGTGACTCACGATATCAGGGACTTCCTCCTTGACACGGCTGATGACAACCAGGGCCTGATGATCTACGATGCCTGTTTAGCGGGCTAGCTGTGATTTCGAATCCGCTATGGACTTTGGTAGATGCCACACATCGGCGTAGTTGAGCTTTCTCCTGGAGCCGCTACTTGGAGCGAGCTGCTCTCCCATTTCAAGGAAGTGAAGGCATTTGTCACGCAGGGAGGACTCCATGCCAGAAAAATCTTCGTCGAGAATAATGAGGTCAGGTCTGTGGATGAGGGCTCGGAGGAAGAGAATAGGTCGCTTCTGGGCAACTGTGAGGGAGGATAATTCGAGGGAGTTTGCCCACTTCGTGGATGGAACCACTTTGGGGTATTGGTTTCGGTATTGGAATTGAGCAAGTCTGTCCGGGGGATAAAATCTGGGTTTAGGTCTGACTCGAAAAAGTGTAGAACAGAATCAACGTCCAGGCTTCGTTCGGGGTTGAGTTTCAGTTTCGAGAGGAATGTCTCTGCCCAAGCTGATTCTATGGAGGCGCGGATGGAGAGGTGTTTGGGGAAGAAAGCATGGATCTTCAGAGAGGAATGGCCAATGCGAAATTGCAGGTCGAAAATCGAGATATCAGGCTTACCGGGTTTGGGCAAACGAGGGCGGCCAAATAATTTGATAGGCTGCGAATATGTCTGCGGATGGTCCGAAGTGATCAAGGAGATGAGGGCCGACTTTTTCCCATGCCATTTAGGCCAAACACCCCCCATCTCTGTCCACGATGAACCTCCCAGTAAAACCCCGTCTCTATCTTGTCACCATCAACTTCTTGGGTCCAATTTCCTAATACCACCTTACCACCATATTGAACACCCACCCCTTCCATTTCGACAAGTAGTTGGCCCAACGGGGCTACCCTTTTCTCTACTTTCTCTGGTTGTTTATAAAAGCATTCCCATTTCGTGTAAAATTTGAGCATAGATATCAAATTTACCATTTTCATGTAACCACTGGAACTTATTATATTCCCCTTTCTCTGATAATGAGAGGTATGCGAAAGCGTGTTCCTCATCCTCGCTGCGGGGTTCAACCCGGCCGGAATGCGACAAACTAGATTCTGGGTGTCGTGGGCTCTTTTCAGCAGCTCGCTCCGTGAATGGAGTTTTGACCCGCCGAGAGGCTACAGCTTTCAACAGCTGCAGGGTTTGAAATACCTCCTCACGGGCACCTTGAAGGGCAAGAGTGTGATCTGGGCCCAAAATGACTACCTTAGAGACCCATTCAGGAATTTGGTCCTTGGGTCTTAAAGCCAGGACGATACGGGGGCTACCGCATAATGTGGCCAGATATAATAGACGGGACAGGGAGGGCACTGTGGACTGATCCAGGCCCACTGTGTAACGATGAGCATCGAATTCATATGTTCAATCTTGGGGGTTGGTTGGGTGGGAGGGGGTAGGTAGGCTTAACCCACTGAAAGGATCATCCAGAAGAAGTACTTCTGGTTTCATAAGTAGCGCCTTTGCAATTCACGCTCGCCTTGACTGACCGCTGTTTAAATTCGACACAGGTAAATCAAGAAAATCGTTTAATTGTATATCTTGGATTATTTTATTAAAATGCCTCTTGCTCTTGCTTTCTGAGCAACCAATGATTGCATCCTCCAATGCTTCTTCTCGCATCAGTGGGCATTCATCCTGCTCTAGCTCTAATGGATTTAGAGACATCTGACCCTTCGAAAACTGAAGAACAGTAAAATCCGTATCTTCCCTTCTACTCTCGTATCGTGCGCTCAAATATGAGCCACGAACGCATCCAACACTTTGTATTTGGTCACCATTAAAGCCAACATACTGGATTGCTTGAGTGTGGTCCCGTACAAGAGAACCGCCAGCTTGTGCTTCATGTGACGAAAGGTATGGATATGACCATGCTGTTGGCGGAACACAGATATAGCGACCACGAAGAACGTCGAGGAAAGTCGACTTGGCCGACGACCCTATTACGACGCAAATGTTCCAAGGACGAGGACAAGGACAAGGACAAGGTCCATGTAGACTGCGCTGGGATGCAAGACTGAAGAGAAAATGTTAGGTTGGGATATAAGGGAGGGTTGTATTTTTGCGAGGTATTGGGCGAGGGATATTCACGGAAGAAGGTTGCGTCAGTGATGCTGATAACTGGAGGATACAACGGACGGGATAGAGGGCGGGATAGAGGTGACTGTTCCGTTTGGAGACATGGAGTCGACGAGAGGTGCCGTTGTGGGCTGTGGGATGCACCCCAGAGAGCATTCAAGGCCCTTTGGGAGCTCCCAGGAGCTTCCGCATGGATATCGCTGCCAGGTTGTGGATGTGGATACTGTAGTTACCAGCCAGCGACGGATCCCTGGCCATTGGCCGAGTTCATTGAGTCATCTTTAGCAGTCATTGAGTTAAATTCTTGACCGCATCCAAACCTCATCTAAAATGAACCCTTAAAGTTAGCGCCCCAAGCAAAGTTGGCCAGTCTGTCTGGACCAAGTAAATACGATCGGCCGTTTGTGACAACCGCCAAACCGCCAGACCGGCTGAACACGAAAGAGAAGGGAGTCGAGTAGAAGGAGAGATTGAAAAGCAGGGTGTAGAATATAGTTGCAGCGGACCTAGGTACGCTACGTGCTGGAAGCGCTGGGTAAGATGGCGCTTCTAGTCAATGCTAACCCATAGAAGGCTTTCGGTTTCTTCTTGACTGTGAGTGGGAGAGAAGTTATTCCATCAGCAAAGGCCAGCGTATGATACAATTTATAAAACGAAACTTACATCAGAGACAATGCCAAAGAAAAAATCTATGTACTTATAAGTTGCATATAATTCAAAAGTAAGATCCATTGTTCCCCCTCTCTCTGGAATATTGAGTGCCAAAACCTAATACAAAGATAATCAAAGACAGAGATGAGGAACGGTTAAATAAAGGGGGGGGGGGGGGAGTGGTGGTCGGGAAGGGGAGAAAAATATGAAAAAAAAGAAAAAAGAAATAAAATGATGCAAACCCCGAAAAGTAGACACATAAACCATACACACATAAATCATTAAAATAGAAATACATGCAAAAGTACATTAGTAGTACACCAAAGTGAAAAAGTTCATAATATCATGTCAATTAACAGCGGAAATTATGTCTACAGTTCTATATTGGAGTGGCTCCTCTTCATTGCTAAGATTCTGCGTTATAATGACGAAAAATGAAAGATAGCAAAATAAAGGAAATATGAGAAACCATGCTCAATACGATGGAAGCAAAAATTTTTTAGGTTGAGTTGCTATCGAAAAATGAAAAACGATGCCTGTCTTGATGTCGATCGGTTTTCCAGAGTAAATGGGCCTTCGGGCACGTCTATATATCAAAATTTATGTAACGGAGCTTGTTTTGTTTCAATTTGACGTCTCATCACGATACCATGACCAATGCGAGCAATGCCATGCGACAGTAGAGTCCGTATTTCATCTGTAATTTTTTTTTTTTTTTAAAAAAAAAAAAAAAAAAGACTAAGTAAATTTTAAAAGACATGGCAAACGGTAAAAATCGGGTTGGAACTTACCTGTCGGAAATAGGCCGCACGCTGGTCAAAGTCAACCTCTTCGCAGATCTCCTGGTTGCGCGGTAGAGGGTGCATGACAATCATCTGGCTCTTTGCATGTTTGAGCACTGTATTGTCGATGACAAAGGTATTCTTCAGTCTCTCGTACTCGTTCAGGTCTTCGAACCGTTCCTTCTGCACGCGCGTGCAGTAAAGTACATCAGACCGTGCCAGGCTCTCCGGGGTCAGTTCAGTCGATTCAAGAATAAGCTGGCCGGCCGCCACAAGCTGTTGGCGAACCTCTTCAGGGATAGCCAGCGCCTTGGGCGAGACAAGCTGGACGCGAACGTCATAGAATTGGAGAAGTTTGACGAGTGAATGTACAGTACGGCCGTATTTCAGATCGCCGATAAAAGTGATCGTGATGTCGTTGACTGTGCCGAGCTCCTCGCGGATGGTGAAGAGGTCAAGAAAAGCTTGGGTTGGGTGTTCAACGGCACCGTTACCGCCGTTGATGATGGGGACAGGAGAGAATTTGGCAGCAGTGGCCGCACTGCCGTCATCAGGATGGCGGAGGACGATGGCATCACTGTAGCATCCTAGCGTCCTGATGGTGTCTTTGGAGGGTTTCTCCCTTTTTAGTGGAAGAATGCTCGGTGGCGATGGGGATGGTGCGACCGCCCAATCGCTGCATAGCGGCATCAAAGGAAGCGGAGGTGCGGGTAGAAGGCTCAAAGAATAGCGTTGTGAGAACTCTGCCTTTCAAAATGTCGAGGACGCCATGACGTTGAACACCCAACCGCATCTCTTGTGCAACGGTGAAGAGAAGATGAAGATCTGTACGATTGAACTGGCTGACTGAAATGATATGTTTCTGTTTGAAGGCGGAGTGCGAGAGCAGCTGTTGCACCGAAGTAGATATCTTGATTGGATATGGATAAAGGGGCGCAACGGGAACTAATTCATCCACAGAATTAGGTACAGGGTACCCTTCAGAAGGATCCCTAAGCCTCGATGGACGCGCAAGCGGTGTGGTTGAGATAGACAACCGTCTTGCGAGAGAGCTTTCGCGTTGAGGGGTCGAAGGAACGATTTCCCTGGCTACGGGTGATAATGGCGCTGGGGGTGCAAGATGATGACTGGACATGTCTGATCCCTTTGGCGCATCTGGCATCATTTCGCCATCTAAGCAAGAGGTCTTTCCTTGAAATATAACTCGACCGACAGATCCCTTTAACGTCTTGCCAGTAAAGGGTGACCAAACGCCACGGCCCTGGACTACATATGGTCGGTCAAATTCGACCTCCACGGAAGTATCGGGCTGGTCATGAAGTTCAAAGATCCTTTTCGGGTTATCATAGAGTCTGGAGGTAACATCGTCCACGGTTAGGCGGTTGTCGGAAATAGCAGTAAAGAGCAGGGGAAGTGCGTCTTGGATGCCGACAGCTGCAGAGGCATGGCTACCCGCAACCTGGTAAGGAAGACTTCCAATGGAAAAGACGTCAATTGTATCCATGTACTCCCACAGCGTCTGTTGGTCTTTCTTAGATGGAAGACATGTGCAACCAGGATAATCATCCTGGGAGAGGAAGAGGGAGTAGATGGACACGTCGCAGGTCACCATGAGGCCTTTCTCCTTGCTGAGGGCAATCAGGCCAATATCATCTTTGCTTGTAACACTCATCACGTGTATATTACGATTGTGGAGGCTGGCAAGGAGCAGAATGGAAGCCAAGTCGGTCGCTTTGGCATCAGTGATGATTGGCTTAGTGGTGGGCCAGGAAGCAAAGTGCGCCGTAACCGTCGCAACCTTGTTGATATTTCCCGATAGGTGGTTAAAGGGGATGAACAGTGAACCGACTTCACTCGTGATTTGTCCAACCTTGTCAGAATTGGCAGAGGTTGCCGCAACAGACAAGTTGAAATCGCAGTACGAGCCCTTGCCGGCGTTATGCTGGGCAGTTCTCAGTGCTTGGGAATCGGTGACAAAGCTATCCACACCGACGGGCATGATGCGAACCATGCTAAAGCCATTAGAAATGGAAGCCTTGGTCACCTCCTGAAAGTCCGGAGAATCGGGGTTTGCGAGACCTGGCACAAATGCTGCGATATTGATAAGGCCTGGGAGAGTAACAGAGCGATAGCTTGTTTGGCAATCAATGCTCATCACGTTCATCGGGTAATGACGAGCAATCGCCTCGATCAAAATCTTCGCATTCTTCACATTGGTAACTAGTGGAGTCTGGTAGTCGACCGCCATTCGACGAGTTCGATAACCTTTGCTTATGTAGTTTGCTGGTCGTCTAAACCTATTGCTGGAGGGAAGATTGATGTACAGATCAATCAGATTGTTGGCAAGATGCTGCGTAAGAGAGTATTCTGACTTGAGGTCCTCCTCTTCTCCCGCAAGAACTTCGAGATACTTCACTGGAAGACCGTGTTCCTTGAGATAGTCTGCAGTGCCTGCTGTTGCGAATAGGTTATATCCTAGCGCGTGGAGCTTCCTGATCGACGGAAGCATCTCAAGTTTCTCTTTAAAAGAACCGATGGAGAAGAGGATATTTTTCTTAGGAAGCTTGAAGCCGGTTGAGATAAGAGCTTTAAGATATGCCTCGTATCTGTCACGGCCAAAGCATGCAACTTCACCAGTTGACGCCATCTCCACGCCAAGAACGGGGTCAGCACCGGAAAGGCGAGAGAATGAAAATTGGGGGACTTTGACTCCGACGTAGTTCTTCGGAACAGTGACGAGCGGGTATTCCACAAATGGCTTTCCAATCATCGCCATCGTTGCCATTTCGATCAGGTCAACACCCATAACCTTGGAAACGAATGGGAAAGATCGCGATGCCCTGACATTACACTCGATAACTTTGATGTCATTATCCTTGGCGATAAATTGAATATTGAATGGCCCGGTAACGTTCAGGGCATTCCCAATCTTGCGGGTGGCCTCTTCGATCCGGCTGACGGTTTGCGGGTCCAAATCTTGCGGTGGGAGGATCAAAGTAGCATCACCTGAATGAACGCCAGCATTTTCAACATGTTCTGAGATGAAATGACCGACCATAACGCCATTCTTCGCCACGGCATCCATTTCAATTTCCTTGGCGTTTTCGATATACTTAGTGATTACTACTGGATGTTCACGTGAGACTTCAGCAGCCTGGTTAAGATAGCTTGCAAGATCGTCCAACGAATAAACCGTGTTCATAGCAGCGCCAGAAAGCACATAAGACGGCCGCACCAAAACAGGGTATCCAACCTTAGCGCAAAATTCGGTAGCCTCCTCAATGCTGGTTAGTTCCTTCCAAGCAGGCTGGTCGACACCGATGTGGTCAAGGAGTCGAGAGAACTTGTAGCGATTCTCAGCAGTGTCAATCATTTCGGGAGACGTGCCCAGAATATTGACGTTCAACCGATGCAGAGGCAAGGCGATGATGTTTGGTGTTTGTCCACCCATAGAAATGATAACTCCACTGGACGATTCAAGCTGATATATATCCAATACAGTTTCCAAGTTGATATTCTCAAAATAAAGTCGATCAGCTTCATCATAGTCAGTACTGACAGTTTCCGGGTTATAGTTAACCATAACTGTCTTGTGCCCTTGCTCTCGTAGAGTTCGGATGGTCCTGACAGAGCACCAATCGAACTCGACAGAGGAGCCAATTCTGTAGACACCGGATCCAAGCACCATAACACCATTGTCATTGAAATCAACATCATTCTTAGAGCCGTTGTAAGTTAAATACAAGTAGTTAGTAAACGCAGGGAATTCAGCGGCAACTGTATCGATTTGCTTAACTACGGGCATGATGCCCGCTTCCACTCGCAGCCGTCTGATAGCCAATTCATTGGAGCTCAAAAACTTGGCCAGCTGCCTGTCTGAGAAACCGAGTTGTTTTGCTTGTCTGACGAGCGATACGGGAATGGTGGTGGCATTATAACTAGTCAAAGACGTTCCAAAATTACTGAGGCCCTTCAGCTTGCGCAAAAACCACTTGTCAATTTTGGTTAACTCCCAAATATCATCAACAGTGTAACCGGAATGCATTGCGTTGGCGATAGCAAACAATCGCTGATCGGAAGGCGTTTGGAGTTCGGCTTTGATGGACATGAGTGCGTTTGTTGCATTAAAGCCAACATTGTGAAAGTCTACAGCACGGATGGCCTTTTGAATGGCCTCTTCAAAAGTTCTTCCAATACTCATGACTTCACCAACACTCTTCATGGAAGATCCTAGCTGGGTAGAGACACGAGTGAATTTCTTGAGGTCCCAACGGGGAATTTTGACAACAACATAATCTAGCGACGGCTCGAAACAAGCACAGGTGACCTTTGTTACGGAGTTAGAGATCTCATTCAGCGGAATACCGAGACCGAGTTTTGCGGCAATAAAAGCGAGAGGATAACCCGTGGCTTTGGAGGCGAGTGCGGATGACCTTGACAAGCGAGCATTGACCTCAATAATGCAATATTCTCTGGAAAACGGGTTCAGCGCGTACTGGATGTTACATTCGCCAACAACCCCCAAATGACGAATGACATTGACGGCTGTTGTTCGGAGCATATTGTAGTCCTCATCAGACAGGGTTTGCGAAGGAGCTACAACAATTGAATCACCTGTATGGATACCAAGTGGATCAAAATTTTCCATGTTACAAACAGTGATGCAGTTATCACGGGCGTCACGGACGACTTCATACTCAATTTCCTTCCACCCTTTCATACTCCTCTCAATGAGAACTTGGGGGCTTGCGGCAAAGGCTTTCATGCACAGGTCCCGCAATTGGTCTGGGTCCTCAGCAAAGCCACTTCCAAGTCCACCAAGTGCGTATGCAGCGCGAACAATGACAGGGAATCCGATATCCTTGACAGCTTCCATAGCTTCCTCGAGAGTGGATGCGGATGCGGATTTGGCACATTTTTCGCCAATAGATTCCATGCTTCTCGCGAATAGCTCACGATCTTCGGTAGTAATGATGGTGTCGATCGGGGTACCGAGGACCTTAACACCAAGCTGTTCGAACTCATCTTTGAGCTGGATGCCAACCTGGAGGGCGGTTTGGCCACCAAACGTTACATAGATGGCATCTGGGCGTTCATGCTTAATAACCTTGCGCACAAACTCTGCATTGACAGGCAGAAAGTAGACTTTGTCTACGAGACCCTTTGATGTCTGGATCGTAGCGATATTAGGGTTGATGAGGATGGTGTAGATTCCTTCCTCTCTCAGGGCCTTTATAGCTTGGCTTCCAGAATAGTCAAACTCTCCAGCTTGACCTATACTGAGACCGCCCGAACCAAGAATGAGAACCTTTTTAACGCTGACTCTCGGATGAGCAAGATCAGTTTCTTCTGCAGTCGGGCCAGGAAAGCTGACGGGCTCATGAAGGACACTGGACGACACTACGCTCTTCTTGATGGTGTCGATAAATACATCAAACAAAAACTCGGTGTCCCGAGGTCCAGGAGCGCTCTCCGGGTGGAATTGCACACTGAAAATTGGGCGTGAAAGATGTCTGATACCTTCATTGCTTCCATCATTGGCATTAACGAAAAGTTCCTCCCATCCTTCCGGTAACGTCATGGCGTCCACTGCATAACCGTGGTTTTGTGATGTGATATAGCAGCGGCCAGACATAAGGCTGGTACATGGGATGTTATGGCCTCTGTTACCGAACTTCATTTTTGTAGTGCTTGCGCCAGCGGCCCGGGCTAGCAACTGGTGACCAAGACAGATACCGAAAATAGGAGTTCGGCAGTCCTCGAGTGCCGAATGAATATACCCAACGGTTTTAGAAACCATGGCAGGATCTCCTGGACCATTAGACAGGAATAGCCCATCGTATTCCTTTCCGGCTAAGCTAGGAAAATCATAATCCCAGGGAACGACAAGGACCTCAACGCCGCGAGCGAGCAGGCACCGCAGTTGATTGTATTTCATACCAACATCCACACACAGAACTCTGATGGTGCGACCAGATGGGTGGGAAAGCGCCAAATCCTTTGGTGGGGAGAACAATCGGGGTTTCCTGATAGAAACTGTAGAAGCCAAGTCAGAGGACAGAGACTTTTGTTACAAAAACCAAAATCAAGCCCAGAGAAAAGCAGATAAATCAAGAGTTGTGTGAGCAACTGCTTTGAATCTCACCATCGTTAACAAGGTTTCTCTTGTTAGGATCCACCCATTCAATCTGTTCAAAGAGTGCCCTCCAGTCATCAAGTCTATCTTCGTCAACAATTGCTAGGCTGCTCGCGGCATCTCCATTGAGAATTTCGGTGCTGACGTTGGGTTTCTGTAGCAGAATCCGGCCAAGCATGCTTCCTTCTTCTCGAATTCTTTTGGTGAGGGAACGGGTGTCGACACCGTACATGGCCGGCACTCCCTGCTCCTTCAACCATGTGCCCAGAGACGACCCAGCTAAGAAGTGGGAGTAATCCTCTCCACAGTAACTAGCGACGACGAGACCAGCAACGTGGATTTCAGTTGACTCGAAGCACTTAGGCAGATCACCCAGCAGCTCATCTACGGTCTGGCGCGAGGGAACGCCATAGTTTCCCACCAAGGGGAAAGTGACAACCAAAATCTGGCCACGGTAAGAAGGGTCTGTGATGGATTCTGGGTATCCCACCATGCCGGTCTGGAACACCAATTCTCCCGCGATGCTTCTTTCCGCACCGAAGCTGTAACCTTGGTAGACAGTGCCGTCTTCGAGCTCCAAAGCGTACCACTTGAGGCCCTCCGCAGACATGGGGGCTGCTGCGGGGGGAATAGCACCGCCCTTGTCAGAATTAGCCTGGGGAGAGAGGGACGGCAAGACTTCTCTTAAGTTCTGGAAGTATGCGACTGCACCACCGATAGCGGGTTTAGAAGGGGCAGTTGATCTTCTCCTCACGGAGTTGGCATGAGCAGGAGACGGGCCTTTGGCATCCAGAGAGGGATTGAGGAGCGGCATATTGGCTGGTTGGTTGGCTGGGAGAGGGTCCCTGTGAAGGGGGCGGTATGCCGACAACGGGATGAGTTTTTAACAGAGCATCAGCCGGAAGGAGAGACAAAAAGGAACGGATTGGAAGAATGCCCGTCAACGATGTGAGGTGAATTGAGGTGAATACGAGGTGAATACGAAAAGAGAAGAGTTATCAATTCGCAGAGAGAGAGATGAGGAGAGGAAAAGGGTAGGTGAGGATGAGAGGAGGAGAGGAGGAGAAGAGAAGAGGAGAAGAGTGGAGGGATGGGTGAGGTGATAAGATGGTATACAGTGGGTGGGAATGAGAATGGGTTAAGTAAAGAAAGAAAAATATTGAGAAAGTTTCCCACCAAAGAAAGAAAAATACAGTTTAGGTAATCTCAATACTCCGGTAGATTCTTAGTTATTCAGCCAGCCAATAGGGGCCGCTGTCTGTCCTGGCTTGGCAGAAATTCCCAGTCTATCATTGGCCGATGGCGCTTAGTCATCTATACCCCTAGTAACTTTCGTCTCGTATCAGAGTGTATTATCAGGTGCTCCTACTTTTCGTTCATCTTCAACCGCTCATGTTCAACATTGATAAATTATCCTCAATTCTCAATCTAATTAATTTAATTTCTTGATCAATTTCAGTCTGACACTCTATAACTACAAGACACCAAAAAAAAAGGAAGGGTCAATCAACGATGCTGGCCCTATCCGTAATTTAGCCTCTCCCTTCCCAAAGGCACCAAGCCTGGAGGTAAGGAAGGGAAGCCCGCAAAGATTTGTCTGTCTTCACTTCTCCTGGATCATCATCTATGTTTAATTGCATCGTTGACTAGAATTGACCAAAAAGAAAATACATCAAAACAAAAATCTTCGCCATTGGAAGTCGAAGATTTTAACCCAGGCACCACACGTGATACGATGACTAACCTTTGGAAACCAACCCAGACCAACCCAGAGCAAGCTGGAACACTATTATCAAAAACCTAAACGGCCTTTATGTAGCTTCAAAACAACTGAATAAAAATATTCTCCCTGCTGTTTGCACTGAGAGAAAATGATTCCGGGCCAGGTGGGAGACCGTAGTGCTTGTTTTCTTTTTCTGGTCACTTTTGTGATTAGCTACAGAGTAACTGACTAACAGGTTCTCATTCATTCATTCATTTATTCATTCTCTGGACAGGCTGTTTGTTTTAACTTGGTCTTATCCAATCTTCAAGGTTCAAATCCCCTAAACAGCTTACCGCACCCCTTCGAAAAAGTGAAAGGAAAAAAAAAAAAGAAAAAAAAAAGAAAAGAGAAAATAGTAAAGAAAAGAAAGAAAATCTCTGGCACAAGTCAAACAATGGTATCCCCTGTTCTGAGTCTCAGGCGCAAAACTTCGAACTCTGGGCATTCTATGGTACCCTCCCCTTTTACCCCATTGATTTCCTCTCCGCGTCCTCTGAGCCCCAAACGGATTAGGCCATACGGTCCAGATGTGGACGTTGAACAGATGAACCCATTGGATGGCGCTGGCGAGAGGAATGAGGAAGATGAAAACGAACAAGAATCACATGAACATGAACATGAAGAAACAGAGGAAGGTAACAGCCATCATAGCGGCTCTGACGAGGACGAACATGACGGCCTGGAGGCATCTCCTCTACTTCCCATATTTTCGGCATCTCATCTTGGTAGGGAATCTCCACTATCACTGCATATAATTATCAACAGACATAGTAAAAAGCACCCTAACTAACATGCTTATTAGATAGCCTTCCAACATACCCCCTGGCCCATGCCATTCGGGTATTGATTACTTCTCGAATCGAAACCACTTTGTCCTGGGATCAACTCCGGTCTCCACAGGTGTCCCAGTTTCTGCTGAAGTCAATTCAACAGCAAATTCGCCAATCTCATTTTTCGAGAGCAACTCTCTATGCACTGATGGCCAATTGCCTTCAGTTCAAAAAGGAAGTCAATTCTAGCCCCGGGAATAGCGGCACAAGCAATACGCGGGCCATGGTGTGCGAGCTGCTTGCTATCAAACTGCTAAAGGAATACTCTACCAGAGAGTTGATTGATGCACTATCATATGATTTCTATCCCCTTCAGGAAAAGCCACCGCCAATGCCAAGCAGCACTCTGCGCACCCTACAACCTTCGAGCCGGCATAACACCCACAAATCCAAATTGGTTCCCCCGCCAAAGGCTGGCCGTATCTCTTGTTTGGAAATTGCCATCCGTGCCCAGGCAAAACGCTTTCTCGCACACCCACTCGTAGTTCAACAGCTCGAAGCTATCTGGGCAGGTAACATTGTTTTCCATTTCGAGGCTGATAGTTTACATCGCCCACCACCACCACCGCGCACAAATACCCGGTCGGGATACGGGTCATTTATGCAAACTAAACATAACGTCTCTAACCGTAATGCCGCTACCCCTCGTCGCTCAGTTACTCTCTATAATCCTCGAGGCGCTTCTCTATTCAAACTCTCCCGGCTTAGAGTTCCTCTATATCGACAGGTTTTATCTACGTTGTCCTTCGCCATCTTACTTGGGCTTTTCCTTGCAGTTATTCAAAGGAGATCCTTAGAGATCACCACTCTGGAGCTTATATTCTGGCTTTGGAGCGCAGGGTTTATGCTTGATGAGCTTGTCGGATTCAACGAGCAAGGGTTCAGTCTCTATTTAATGAGCTTCTGGAACACATTCGACGTGGGCATATTGCTCTTGCTGTTCTGCTACTATTGCCTAAGAATATATGGCGTTGTTGCACCTGACAACCGCAAAAAGATCATTGCGAACCACGCATATGATGTGTTGGCTGCCAATGCAGTTCTTCTCCTTCCCCGTCTCTTCTCCGTGCTTGACCACTATCGCTATTTTTCCCAACTGCTAATCGCCTTCCGTATGATGGCTGCGGACCTTGTTGCTGTGTTTACCTTAATAATAATTGCTTGCAGTGGTTTCTTTGTTGCATTTACATTCTCATTCGGGAATGGCGACTCGCCAGGGACCGTTGTCTATGCCCTTTTTCAGATGCTAATGGGTTTTACGCCCGCGGCCTGGCAGCTGTGGGATAAATATAACCTGCTCGGGAAAACAATACTGACTCTTTTCTTGTTTATCTGCCATTTCCTTGTCGTAACGATACTTATCACGGTGCTGACGAACTCTTTTATGGCTATTGTTCAAAATGCCAACGAAGAACACCAATTCGTATTTGCCGTCAACACTCTTTCAATGGTTAAGTCAGGTGCTCTGTTCTCATACGTTGCTCCAACTAACCTCCTGGAGTGGATAATAACACCCTTGCGATTCATAATGCCATTTCCGAAATATATCAAGCTCAATCGGACAGTGATCAAGATTACTCACATGCCGATTCTCTTTATGATCTACCTATATGAAAGAACCATTCTGAGACCGAATGTTTTTGAACCTTCTGATCTAATTAATCGTGGTGATGCTAGGCAGTGGAATCCTGACCATCACAACACTTTTGATGCTTTTACTCGTCGAAACTCCATACGCGTGAGGGAACCATCTATTGCCACGTATCAGAAGGATCGGGCTCTTGATGAGGTATTTCGATATCCAGCCAAACATGCAAGCTACCGGGGACCGCAAAGGCGAAGGAGCCCTTGCGAACGAGAAGCAAGCAAGGTTGTTGACACCTGGATGCAAAATCTTGAGCCCGAGTCCGGGATACTTTCTCCAGACGCAGAGGATATGGACAGGGTGGAAAGGTTGGGAAAGCAACGTTTCTGGAGGCACAGAGCTCGGATATATCCAGATAGTGTAAATGGTGCCGTGCGAAACCTTACGGAGACGACGTGTCAGTCAATAGTTTCGGATCCGGAAGATTGGGGATACGGCACAGTCCACCGCCGTAGATTACCCCGCGTATTGCGGTCCTTACCAGTGCCACAAAATGTCCGACAGTCTTCACAACAAACGGATATGGAAGATGGTGAAGAGCTCACAAGCACCTGCAATGAGCAAGATGATTCTGTTGGAGCTGGGCGCACGTCGATGCATGCCAATGACACAAACTATCAGGGAGCCCAATCATCAACGCCTTCCAGTCTCCGGGGTCTAATTAGTTCACGAAAGAAGACGTCTCAGCCGTCCACCGCCAAACTTCTCTCACGAAAGAACAGCCCGTCTCGTCGCCCGAAAACTCCGCAACGCCACCATTTCCGAAATGCTTCCGGCGCGACAATCCTCTACAAACCCAGGCAGCCTCAGACAGACGATCAGTCCGACACTGACATTAGCCAAGATGGTAAAATCAAGCCAAGTTCTATCCAATTTGGCGGTGGGCCGAATGCCCCTAAAAGGCGCTCACCCAAAGGACATGATGACTGTGGTGAGAGTACTCACACCGCACCCCGTGCCATCAAACCGCCTAAACCCAATTTCATGCCCGCCTCAGACACCGCGGATCTAGCATGGCCCAGCTCAGACCTACACAAGGTGCGCGGCCACTCCTCTCTAGACATGGGCCTCGGCTCAGACTTGGGGGACAACAAAGCTGTCGGCGGCGGCTTTGTTGGCGGCATACCGTCCGGGATCAGCTTCGCGACACAGATGGCATACGCTACGGGTTCACTGAGGCGTCCTGCTGTAGCACCGGGCAGTGATAATCAAGATATGATGAGCAAGCTTGTGCTGGCGCGGATGAGGGCGTTGGAGGATGGGTTTCGCGATGTTATTCGGGAGGTGAGGGAGTTGAGGCGGGTGGAGGAGGCGAGGGATCGGAGGCGGGATGAGGAGTTGTTGGGGCTTGGGAGGGTGCGGGAACGGCAGCGGGAAAAAGAGTGGGAAAGAGAACAGGCACGGGGGCGGGACCGGGAGCGTGATAGGAAGAGGAGGAAGGCAATGAGATCGCAGGGGGCGCGGAGGAGTAGGGATAATACGGAGGTTGGGTTTGATTCAGATGGGGTTGATGCTCGTGACGTAGCTGGACGTCCGGATGTAGAAGGTCGGGGCGACCCGGCGGTGTTCAGAGGAGTTGGTTCACTTTAGTCCATTAGACTTCGGTGCCGTGGCGTTCCAGGTGGGCGGGTAATGTTTTGTTGTTTATATATCCTTTCAATGACCGTGATATAACGATTGAAATGCGTGTTAGTGACTTTGTATAGAGTAGACAAATAGTTCTTTCTACCACGTTTGTTCGTGGTCCATCTTTTATTTGTATATATGTACAATATATCATATCATCGCATAGACTATACGGCAATACTTTCCTCCCATCACTTCCATCAAACAAATAAAGTTCAAGGATGTCCTGTTCATGATCCTGTATCCTCTATCTTCTATCCGCAATTTCTGGTCTGCGAAAAGAGGTTGATTTCCTCGGTGTGATAGATGATTTCTCGGCTGCTGTTGCAGATGTAGGCGTGGGCGAGTATGGAGTAGCTGGCGGTATAATCATCCAACAACCTGCCATTCGCCCTGTCCTCCAACCCGATCCCGTAAATGCATACAGGTACAGCGTATAAGTGTATAATAATAGAACCACATGACATCGTAACTGCATCAGACGCAATCCCGAACTTGTGTTGAAATCAGCCCTCCACCCAACACTCAATTTTTCAATTCAATCCCAGAAACCACACACACACACACGTATACATCTATCTATCTATCTATCTATATATATATATATGTCCCCTACCGCTGCTGCCCGTCATACAACCTCCTCGCCTCCGCAATCTTTTCCTGCCTAATGCGGTAGAGTGTCATGGTGAACAGGCCGGCGCCGATGGAGGCAACCATTGCGTATACCAAGCGTCAGCCTCTGTATTGGATTGAGATTTGGATGGGTTAGCCGGGTGTGTGTGTATTTGGTTGTATATATTATCTATTGGTTACTCCGTACAGAGAACTGCGAGAGGGAAATCGAAAGGGTGGCTTACGTGAAAAGCTGCTGTAGAGGCACAACGGGTGGAGGTGGGCGTGGCGTGGCCATTGAATGTGCATGTATCGATCGGAAGTGTATGAACGGAGTTAGTCCCCAAGAGTTGGGAGGTTTGCCAGTTACGTTTATGCGTTTGGTGGTGCTTCCTGGATAGAAAGATTGGATCCAATTGCGGATCCTAGGAGCTTTCCGGGTGGTAGATCCGTAGTTGTATGTAGGCGGTGACTATGGAAGAGTAAATGTGACGAACGAACTAAAACATTCGCATTAACTTCTAAGGCTAGTTAATTTAGTTAAGTCACGGAGTGTTAGGCTCAGCGTCCGACCGAAGGCCGGTGCCCGGTTAGACTCGACGTCGGATTAAGCTCGGCGCCCGATTAGGCCTAACCCATATCACGTGACCATGCGACCATGCGGGTCGCTCGATTAGGCCTAATCCATATCACGTGACCACACGACCATGCAGGTGGTTATAATCCACGCAGGCCCCCAGCACCCCCTTTCATCCCATCAAGCTTAGTATTTCGTTATATAGCAGTTAGCAACGCAGAGAGTCTTTCTTCTTATGCAGCTCGCATTCGCTCCCTAACACGGAGTAACTAGTTAGTTAACTAACGTAATCAATCACCTACCGGATCACTTTCATTCAAATCATTCATGCTCTATTAAAAAATTCAGAATGTCAACCACCCTCATTAAAAAGACTTCTAATCAGGAAGCAGGCATTTATTAGTCATTAAAGTTTATAAAGCTCAGCAAATTACAACTATTAGAGCTGCTTCTAAGTTATATAATGTTCTCTATTCCTCTCTGGCCTATAAACTACGCGGTTAAATCACACATGCAAAAGCTCAATTAAAAAATCAAAAAATTAATCTCTACAAAAGAAGAATCTCTAGTTCAATGAATAATCTCCATGAATGAGAGAGGACAGCCTCTCTGAATCATGACTGTACAAGAAGTAATCAATTAACTTCTTGAAGAGTATGAATTCAGTGCTTCTACTATTGTAGAAGAATGTTAAGTCAATAGATTTATACAACAGCATTCTGAACTAAAGACAAAGTTCTCATGCAAATATGACTATCAGTGAGCTCAGTGTGAGAATTTAAAGATTCTACATGACTGATTTATTTTGATGAATCATACAATAAAGAAGTATAAAATTGTATCAGAGGATATTTACAACTTTGATGAAATTGACTTTATGATGAGAATTATCTCAACAGTCAAAGTGATCACTAGAGCTGAGAAAGATAACAAATCATCTCTCATACAGTCAGGAAATACTGAATAAGCAACTGTGATTGAAGCAGTCAATGTGCGATGTCAAGACTCTATATACTAGCTTCTTGTTCTCATACTGCTTATCACACTGCTTATTAAAATACTTATCTTCTCACACTGCTTATTAAAGCACTTTGAGATTAGTATCTTCTAAAAAAATCAATATCATTTCAAGATTCAGCACTCAGAATCAGCACAGATCAACACTTCTCAAAAATCAGTTTATTAAAATCAACACTTTCTAAAGAATAGAATCAGTACTTCATGAAAAATCAAATTACTATATTATTAATTCTTTATTTTATAAAAGATTAGAGATAAAATCTATTACTATTTATTTATATATATAAACACTCTGAATCTCTGAAGTTTCTTCAAAAGATTTAATAATTAGCTACTATTCAATTCTATATCTATATTTTTATTCATTACTATTCTTTTTTCTCTGTAGTGCTCATTATATCTATATATCTGTTCTTTTATAATACTAGTTATAGAGCTTTTTATACTTTCTTTTAATATTAAGTTTATTCATTCTAAGTGTCTTCATAGTTTCTAACCACTTTAATAAAGATTATTTATTAAGTCTATAATAATAAGTTTGAAATATAATCTATAAACTGATACCTCACACATAATATTCAATGAAAAAGTATATATAGAAAAAATCTTCTATGAACAATTTTCATGTTTGATTTTAGAAAGAAATACTGAAGTATTTATTATATCAATTGATGAAGAGATTCAGATAGTTCAATAAGAATAAAAACATTAAGAGATATATAAAAAGATTCTTAAATTATAACAACAAGTTAACACTGTTAGTGCAAAACTTCAAATCTATAGAAGTGAGCAGCATAGAATAGAGTCAATACATCATACTATTAATATCAATATTACTTTTTTCAAGTTTTATTTTACATTAATTCAAAAATTCTCAAATGAGTTTAAAATAAAAAGTCTCAAAAAATTAAAAGACTTTATCTTTTTAAATTTCATCTTCTATATTTATCAAAAATATTATTTGAGAATGATAATAAATATAAGATTCTTGATATAGTAATATATTTTAATATCAAACTACAATAGAAATGATAATAATACTATATTAAACTGAAGACATCAATTATCTGAGATAAATTTTATAACTGAATTCATGCTAAAATTATTGACTCAGATAAAATAAGTTAGAACTATGAGTTGAAGTATCAAATATTGAGACAATTTGAAGATTGAATTATTTATGACTTTATATTCACTCTTTAGGCAATTAAGAGTCATCTTCTTGAGAAATATAATAATTATCAATAAAAAATACATCTATTTGATAAGATTCTATTCTCTTTTTATATAAAATTTGAGAAATATATAATCAAATTATATAATCTCTTCTATAATATTTTTATCATAAAACTTAGTATTGTGAAGAGTAACATTTCAAAGACTATTATATTAATAAGTGCAACTATACAATAAAAGAGTGATACTCACAGAAAAGATTCATATAATGATACATCAATAGCATTTAAGAAAAAAAGCTGAAAACACAAGAAATGCTCTAATATCTGATGTGATATTTATTAAAGCTTTATATACTTCAATGCAGACTATAAGACTCAGAAGAACAAGTTCTCTAAAGACAAATTCTCAACTTCAAAATCTTCATCAAAATTCTCTTTCAAATCAAATTCTAAAAAGATAAAAAATAAATACTCGTGGACTATGACGAAAGTCCTGATGGTCACGTTACCGTAAAAAACGTGCAGATTTCAGACCTCGAGGATACAGTCCTTGTGCCGCTTGGGAAATGGTTGAGAGGCCCACTCTGTGGCAATGCGATCTGGAGAAGCCCCGAAAGTTGGTGTCGATGCCGCCAGAACCAGGCCTCGGATGCTTTTCCCTTTTGGAATTGTGGTATGGCCTGATCTTTCCTCCCACCTTCTGTTGTGTTCCAGGTTTACCAAATCTAAATTCATTATTTACATTCCATTCGATGGCACTGATATAGCACTGTTATAGCTCCGGGAATCACGTTACGGAACAGGGAATGCCAGCTGTTGAAGCTTCCTTGTCGAGGCAAAGAACTGAGGTGGATCCCATAAGTGAGCTGCAAAGGTCAATTCAACCTTGACTGGTGGGCTGTGGCGTTTTGGCCCCGCGTCCCCAAATCCCGACGCATCAGAAGAAGAAGAATCCTGTGGCCGTAATGGGTTGAACCAGAAAGCTGCAAGCGCCAGCGCCCCATAGAGAGTGAAGGGAAGGCAGGATGGGTCTCTTAATCAAACAGGACGACAAAGCCATGCAGAAGGAGCGGAGGAGGGTGTGTCGAGGTAATAGACCTCAAAGATATGGAGATTGCTCATTTGCGAGTGAGAGATCATAGCCTTAAAAGGCCAAAGTCAAGAATATCGGGCGCCTCCAGGAGGGGGTGGTTGACATGGTGAATGAGTAGTTAGCTTGTTGTTTTTATTTCTTTCCTTCTTTCTTTCCTGTTTTCTTTTTCTTTTGCCTTAGAAAGTGAATACGTTACGGGGCTGTTCAGTAAAGGTCTCTTTTTATTTATTAAGCTGCATATGGTTAGACTGTAAAATAATCAGAAAATATAGCTTTCAGTGAGGGGAAGATGATTGTTTTCAACCCAAAATGTTACTCTAGGGAACAATAGAACCTATGGATTTCACGATTGATTCTAAACTTGCCCTTATTTTCAGAAAGTGTCATTGAAATGTTCAAAGCAGTTGAAGAAACATTGAATTCCTTATGGCTTCATTAAAACTTAATGACCTAACCATTGACTATGGTCTTTGAGAGTTTATATCTATATCTGGCTGGGACCCGTATTCCATGTGTAGGGAACATATAATATCACAGAGTAACTAATATCACTGACCGTACGGAGTTGTGTGTTAGATTATAAGGAGTAGTGTGGTAGACTACACGGCAGAAAGGACTTGGTGTGTGTGTGTGTGTGTGTGTGTGTGTGTGTGTTTATTTAACGCCTGGTTAGTCCACATGCCTGAAGGTCATGTGATCTAGTAGAGTCCACATTGAACTATAGGGTGGGTAGAGCTACGCCTGTAGGTAACTACCTATCTAGTAGCTATCTTACAAATAAGGCAAAATGGGTTGCATATTGCTACACAAGCAGAGTCTGTGAGTTGATTGCCATAGAGCAGAGATTTTGAGAGATTTTAAATTTGTGAGAGAGAGGTAGAGAAGATGAATAGAAAAAAAGACAAGAAAGAAAAGAAAGAAGAGGAATGAGAGGAAGAAGAGAAAGATGATGAAGAAGACAGAAGCAAGACAGAAGAGGAGATGATCTGTGAGATCTGATCTGAAGGTGCACATCAGCACATTGAACAGATATTCTAATAGAAGACTGTTTCTCTTAATCAGCTATCAAATTCTAGAGTCTCATATGAGATTGTCAGTGTCTTATAAAGATTGTAAATAGGTTAGTGTCACGGCTTCAGCTAGGCGCAGGTGAACTGGTGTTCAATTGCCAACTAGGTAAGCTATCTGAGCGAATACTAAGATGATTTCTAAAAGATGAGTTTGGAAAAGGCTCTGTTTATATAGCCCTTTTCTCTAGCGCCGTTGCCATGTGATTGCCATGTTTATGTGTTATTCATACACAGAGTAATTATGAGGTTATTTGCTGTTGCCTAGGCAATTGTTGTTTACCAATCACCTTGGCCTGTATAATGGCTGATCACCTTGGTCTGTATGATGACTGATCACCTCAGCCTGTATGATGATCAATCATCTTGACCTGTGTTAGGGAGCGAATGCGAGCTGCATAAGAAGAAAGACTCTCTGCGTTGCTAACTGCTATATAACGAAATACTAAGCTTGATGGGATGAAAAGGGGGTGCTGGGGGCCTGCGTGGATTATAACCACCTGCATGGTCGTGTGGTCACGTGATATGGATTAGGCCTAATCGAGCGACCCGCATGGTCGCATGGTCACGTGATGTGGGTTAGGCCTAATCGGGCGCCGAGCTTAATCCGACGTCGAGTCTAACCGGGCACCGGCCTTCGGTCGGACGCTGAGCCTAACAACCTGTATGATGACTGATCATCTTGAGAAGATTGAATATAAGTCTGTTCTACATCATCACATTACTCTCTCTTCTCCTTGAAGTCTAAGCATGTTCTCATGCTGATAGATTATCATCTACTTCATCTGCTAGATAATTGTTCTTTTTTCAAGTCTTCAGTCATTTGCTTAATTGTTTCAGAAGCTCTGCTTTTGTTAGATTTACAATATAGAATTGTCAAATCAGATATAATGATCTCTTTAGATTTTATGCTGAATATCATATTGAATCTTCATCAAATTCTAGTCATTTTATTTGATATTGAAGCTTTCTACAGAAGATATAGCTTGCTAAAATGTTCTTAACTTCTCACTCATTTTCTCTCTATATTTTAATTGATTCTGATATCTCATTTAACTGTCCTGGTAGAGAATCATTCATGGCCTTTCATAGCTTATCAGAAGAGAATATTAAGTGAATTTTCATACTATTTGATAGTTTTAGTCTGTAGCTGTTATCTATTCTCTCAATGATCTCAAAGAGATCTTCATTTTGCTCTATAGCTTCCTGCTAAGGTACTGAATTCTATAGTTCTTGAGTGACAAGAAGATCTTATCTCCTATTTCAAAGTTTGACTTACAGCAATGCTTGGTGACCTGTAATTTCATAATTTCTTATGTCTTTTTCACATTATCTGCTACTAGCTTTCAGATTTTCTTCATTTGAATGACATGCTGTCTGATATGTTCTCATTTAATTTTCTCTTCTATAAGTAGTGTCTTAAGTAGTAACTTCTAATCAAAGAACATTTGAGATTCATATTCATAAGCTGTTAGGAAGGGTGTCATCTCAGTTGATTCATTCATCAGAGCTCTAGTCATGTGATTCATCATTGATAGTTATTTATCCCAGTTGTTCTGATAGTAATTTATATATAAATAGAGTTTAATTACCAGATATTGATTTACAATCTCAGTCTAATCATCTGTTTGTATATGATAAGCTGATAAAAACTTCAGCTTGACTCTCAATCATCTGATGAACTCACTTCAGAAGTCTAAGATGAATTAGAACTTATAGTCTAATACAATTGAATCTGTTGCTTTATAATATTCATAGTAGTGCTTCAAGAATAGTCTCACTAGCTCTTTGACATCTGCATTTTTTGCGGTAGAAATTGATATATACTTCTTACTTAGTTAACAGATAATCATCAATATTGTATTATGATCTCTTTTTGTTATAGAGTTATTCATGAAATTTATTGAGATGTGTTACCAGGCTTTGCTGAGAATTGATAGTGACTTGAGCAATTCTGAAGTTATATCATGAGATATTTATTCTTCAGCACACTAGACAATTTTTCACATATTGATCAATATTTTTGATTCAGTCATTTCAGTAGTATCTTACCTTCACTAGCAAGCATAGCTTTCTGTTTCCAGAATGTGCTATAGATGACTACTCATGAATCTCTTTTAGAAAATATGCTCAGAGAGTAGAATCTTTCTTAATTGATATCACTAAGCACTTTTCAAAATACAAAAGTTCATCTATCAGCTCTTAATGCTGTTCTCTCTGTTGTACTTTTTCATATTCTGATTTTAGTGATTCTGCTTCTCTGTTTTTTGCTTTGATCTCATCTAGAATGTATGTATCTGCATTTATAGCCTTGATCTCAATAGATTTCTTGATGATCTTTGAGTTTAATCTCTTCAGCTTGAAGAATAGTTGCTATAAGGGGTTGAACCCTTAGATTTGCTCTGGCTGGCTGACTCAGCCTAGTCATTGTTTGCATGTGCGCACGTGATCATGCTATGTGAGCTTGCTTAAGCTTGAGTTCTCATCTCATTCTTTTCTTCCCTTTCTCAAGCAATTCATTCTTGTTATATAGGAGGACTAGCCTTTAGTTCTTAGAGCTTAACCCTTTACATTACAAATTGCTTCACTCCTTCCATTGATAGACCACTGAGAGCCTTAATCCTGTATCATAAAGCTCAGCAAATGTGCTGACATATGACAGACTATTGAAAGTTTTAAATTCTGCATCATGAAGTTCAATGATAGCACTAATATATGAATAGACTGAGTTAGCAATCATGCTAACAAATGAATGAGCAACATTGAAAACATCTAGTTGAATGAGATAAAGTGACAGACTTGTACAATAAATACATAAATGAATCAACACAAAGCAATGAGCAGGTATGCCTTTAGCAGCATTGAACAACAATGAATGATCTTTCTTCAACAGCAGAAACAGGTTTAGTGTGAGAACAGAGATTTAATAGCAGCTCAGCAAGCTGAAATAGTTAATCTATGACAAGCTTTGAACACTTCAACATCAATTCTCTCTCAATTGAATCTGCAATCACTTATTGCAGTCAGAAGATTAAAGACCAAGCTACTGAACTGTGAGAAGTATAATGATTCTAATCTGAAGTACTACTCTCAGTGAGAGCTAAAGCTTCAATCAAAACTTAAGATTGATGAGAAAGCTTTAGATAATAATGAGAAATGTGCTTGATATGTATATTAAAAACTGGAAGAAATAGCAGCAGCTCAAGTTTACCTCTGAGTTAAGAATAATAAGAATGAGATCAACTTCATAGTAGAGAGCTTACTGAAGCAGACATATATGCTTTTTAATGATTCTGCATGATAGGAAAAGACTATGCAAAAGCTCAACAATCTATGACAGAGTAGAAGGACTCTTTTTGACTTTCTGCTTGAATTTAATCAGCTACTGCTGAAAGCTAGTGATCATCAATGAGATGATCACATTAAAAAGAAGTATTTGAAATTCACTCTAAGCATGGAGCTGAGGGAAGGCATGATAGGTGTAAGAGAATTATCTCTCTATAAGAATTACTGCAAGGAGCTTAGATTAGTTGATTATCAACTCTCTGAGCTTAAGATCTTAAGACAGTGATCTA